TTGTCCAGCAGTCAGGTGCATCGCTTTGCCCGGTGTTGGTGGTGGCAGTTGCGCCAGCAGCAGCTAACGTTAGAGGCTCTGGAGGAGGCGGCGGAGCTAGTGCTAATGCTAATGCACTAGAACTTGGAGCAGGAGGATCAACCAAAGAAAGCTCCCCATCAGACACAATTTCCAACACAGGCACAGCATTCTCTGTATTTGAAGTTTCTTCCGGCGACAACCGCTGTCTTTTTGCACTTTTATTAATCCACGCTAACATTTTAGAAATGCTAATTTGTGAAGTGACTTGCTTTCCTTCTCTCGGGGGCGTGCCTGCTCTGTTCTATCACTCTACATAGCCACCCACTGGGTGGGAGTTGCACTGCATAAACACAACACACGTGCATCTAGGTATGTAAATTGTAAAGCATTAAAACATGGTTTTACTAACAGTTTTCAATATGTTGTTACTTCGGCATTATTATTATTATTATTATTATTATTTTGAAACGTGTATTACTATTAAATCACGGTCAAATAGGTTAATTTTGACATAGTCGTTTCCACCACAGTATTTACATGGAGAAGATAAGCCCCGCCCCCTCTCCAGCACGTTCTGTTTGAATGACAGGAGTAAACAGCTGACAGCCGCTGTGAAACTCCAGCGGTTAGAGCGATGAGAATGTCCGTTCGGCACCTCATGACGCATCTACTGAGTACCGGGCGGCTGTATATATATATATATATATGGATGTATAATAAGAACGGCGGGAGAGTGTTGAGTACTGGCACGGTGCATGAGTACCGGAGTACCGCCAGCATGCCGGTACTGAGCAAGAAGTGCCGGTACTCCATGGGTCAGAACCAGAAGTGCCGGTACTGCGTACCGGTGAGTACCGGCCCAATTCCAGCACTGGTTGCAGTGCCATGCAACATTAACGCTCAGCGTTGTGTTCCCTCACGTAGGCCCTTCTGGTCCAAAAAGTTGGACTTGAATACAGGAAAAATGCAAAAAGTAGGACCACAGTTGCTCATCTACGGTTGACACTGGTGGGTCAGCACTAAAACACCAAAATATTGATGTAAAATTGGGAAACAATTTATAAACCAACATGTGAATTACCTTTGTTTTGTGTTCGTAGTTGTTTAGATTAATTGTGACAAAACATAGATCATAGGCCAGGGTTCTATACTCTAAATCTATTATTTCTCTATAGCAGTTCTTGTCTGATCGTAAATATTTTCTGCTTGGGAAACCTTACATTATAACTGCCAAGAGCAAAAATGTTTTGTTTTATTGCATTATTACAGAACAGAACCAAATTGTAGTAAATCCAAATAATCGAATATGGTCTAATGGGGCTAGGATAAATCAGACCTTGAGCATTAGCAGTATGACCGAATGGCAGTAAAAACTAAAGAAACAATGCACTGAACAAGCTTATCATGGATGGTTATCTCCACTCTGGCTTCGCTAACAATTCTGCCCTAATGCTGAGACAACTGATCAGAGAGCAGCAGGAACAGATGAGAGCATTGTTTGTTTGATAATTCAAGCTAGATTTAAGATTTAAGATCAATTCCATCCTGTTACTTCTAGTTGTCATGCTGTTTATTGTATTCAAGGAGATTTTAAGGGCCTACTTTCCAAGGTTTCCATATTAAAGGAGACCTCTTTATGCAGGCATGACAGGGTTGTTGATGTGATGTTATAACAAATGTTATAAAATAGGAATGCTGCATCTGTTAACTTAGCTTATTTAATGATGCATGAGTATGCTACTGTCTGACATGCAAGTTTAAATGCAAAGCATAATAACTTTGACAATCTTTGCTCATTGAAGTGTCAGTCAAGATGTCATAGAGGTGCTAGAAGTATGCTGTAATTTAGATTGTCCCCGGAAGGATGATTTCAGCTAGTAAACATAACACTTACAGTTTATTTTTAGTAATCAATGTGATATATACAGGGTGAGATAACAGGTCTGGAGAGCAGATTCTGTTTAATGTCAGTAGTTATTGACAGCCACAGTGTTGAGGAGAAACCGGCTATCGGCCTGTTAATGCAACACTTTAATGAATTATAATGCCTCTAGCACGCAAGCAGTTCACACTTTACCTGAATCTCTTGAAATATCTTAACATCTACAAGATAGATTTGCATAAAAAACATCATACACAGATTCATGGTCGGCAGACAATCGATACCAATTCATATCTAATCCTTTGTGATTTCCCATGATATCGTCAGGTAAAACAATTCCTACAAAATACCTACACAACTACATTCCTCAGCCCCAGCTTTACTTTGTGTTAAGTTCTATTCAAAACTTGACCTAAACTAATAAACCTTTTGAATCAATCAAATAATAGCTAAACCTTTAGCCTGCTAAACATTAGCATGTTAGCATTTTCATTGTATGTTAGCGAAGCACTGAAAGCCTCACATTGATGCTTGGATGTTTTTTTTCTTTTGGGTTCCCCAGAGCTTGCCTGCTGTTTGTACCACACCAAAAGTATTCAAGACCCTGAATTAGGACACATGTGACTATTTTAAGAGATTGTTAAACCTAAGAAAACATTTGATGTGCCCCCCTTGCAATTAAAACCATGTGTGCATGCAAGTGTGGGCAGGTGGCTGTGCATTTGATGGGAGGAAGTGTACTTGAGCAAGAAGGGTAATTCAGCTTGACAATTAAAGCATCTATCTCTAATTTGGATCTCCCCTGGTGAGGTAAATAGGGAGGCTAAAGATAACAACACCAAGGGCTTATTACCGTCACTTCAAACATTTCAAGGGAGGTTGCCTTTCCAAGCCTAGAATTCTCCTGTCTTGTTGAAACTAAAGACACATACGCACGCTGACCTGAACATTGACCTCCAACATCCACACACATGGACAGACAAACATGCACGCGCACTCTGGAGTAGCCTGATAAGCTTCGCGTCTCACCAATTGGCCCCTGCAAATGTCAAACTGAAGCCCTCTTAGTTTACTGATAGGGTAGGTGGGAGTGGATTCATCTAAATTTCCTTCAGTTTCGTGTGCATATGCAGGAGATTAACACAATTAAAACAAGTCTGCAGTAGACACATCTTTCAAATCCTTCTTATATATGATGAAAAGAGGTACAGTGGAAAATCCTTAAATATCCTACTGACGAGTCCAAGAGACAAAGCAACAAAAAGCAGCTTACAGCAGAGGAATAGTTATCTTCCTACCCTGGATCTGAATAAAGTCAGGGAGGACAGGAGATGAGATGTGAGTGAAAGGTTGAGGCGTCAATTACAGTCCAGATGCTGTTTCATCACATATTAAAACACCAGCCACAGAGTGTCCTGCTGGGTAGGTTGTTCAGCTAAAGTCACCATCAAAACGCCCAAAGAGGGGTCTGCATTGCTTACACAAGCACAATAGCTCGAGAAGGGATAACCCAGTTTTGCAGGATGAGGCAAAGACGGTGCCTGCCAAGAAAATTTCTCTACGCTTTGTGCAGAGGCTTCCACAGAGGGTTTAAGGCTTACCCATGTTTGCTGTGTGACCTTAATAAATGACTAAAAAAGGATGGGTGGTGGCTAAATAAAGGGTTACATGTAACTATGCAATATGATGCAATAATATAGGTATTGTTGCCAACATTATGGCACTACTAAAGTCCTTTTATATTTTGCTGAAAAAATAAATGAATACATTCTGGAGCATTGTCATTTGACTCTCTTCGCTTATTTTAAAATGATAAATACTGTTGAACTCTTTCTTGAGATTGTTTTTGGTGCATTTGTGTTCCTCCCCAAGGGCTTTAGGAGAAGTACAGATGTTGCAGACTCTCAGGCAGTGTTCAGTTCCAGTGGTTTCAGCAGTGAAAGCTGTTTCTCGCAGACCGGGGGCGTTCGTTTTTGACATTGTGACATGAAGTCTTTAATTTGAAGATGTGCTCATACACCCTGCAAGCAGAAAGCAGCCTGTGCTACTGCTCAGCTGCCTCTAGCTCGGGTGACCTCTGCTCAGGCACGGACCCTCAGTCTTAATTGTGTCTGGAGGAATTCTGCTGTCTTAAGACAAGCTCAAGTTTAGACTGGAGGGCTTTGTGGCTTTCACTTCATTGAGCAGTTAAACACACACAAGATGCTCTAGCACTGTATATTGTGGCAATGTAATCTTAACAAAATGCTGAATTTAAATAACCTTGAAAGTAAAACTGTGCTGACATTCAGTTTGATTAGCTTCTGTTAATAAATAAATGATGAGTAAATTAATAAACATGGGTAAACGTTTCACTTTTCTCACTTCTTGGTACTCTCAAAACTTTCGTTCATAAAATCCTAACTTGTTGTTTTAAACTAAGTTCTGGACCTCACATGGCCCATATCAAAGGCCAACTATGTCGAAATAATTTCAATGTATCAAAGTGAGTATTTAGGGAAAAAAAAAATATATATTGGTTGTTGCAGTTTAGGCCCGGAAGCTGTTTTCCTGTCTCTGACACTTGTGTCGCAGTCACAGCAGAGCCTAATTTGCCCTCGATTACTTTCCGACACTGATCTAAGCTTCGTCATGATATGTTCCAACACCCTTCCCCTTACTTTTTCTTGTTAAATCTCAGCGTCTTCACAAACATTAAAGGAAAACTCAAATCTCTCCTTTGATTGTGAAACACAATCTTCCCCCGCTTTTATTTGGCATTTAACACAGCTGTGATTTCTTCTCCCTTTTTCCTCCGTGATCATCTCTACTTGATTGCCTCTTGTGTGTAACATTTAGCAGGACTAAAGTCTGGATCTACTGGGAAATTAGAGATTAGTACAGCTGATCAAGAAATAGATTAGGTAAGTGACATTAACCACATAATGTGTGAGGAAATGATAAAAAAAAATTTTTTTATGAAAGATCAAGGACATTAAAATCAAATTCAACAGAAATATATGCTCCTTAAGCCCACATCTAGGTATTTAAAATGTGTTTAAAGTCATTGTATTTCTCTTTATCATTTGTGGAAACACACAGAACGTTTCAACAAGTGTTGCATGCATGACTTAAATAAATAAATCTTTACAATTGAGCACATTACTTGATACATTTGTACAACGATTGACCACAGCTATATTCTTTAATAGACACACAATATGGTGTACGTAGCCTACACTACTTTGATTGTGTTCAGACATCAAGATCAAATGTACAGTTTATACACTTAACAATATGCCAAATATAATCAGCTGATATGAAATTATTATCCAAATCTTCACAATAACACACAATACTGTTTGTGACCCTGTCAGCTGTTCAAAACTAGCATCATCTCATTTTGGCTTCCAATATTTGACAAACCAGAGCTTCTCTGGGTAGATTATATCTCATCAGTCATTGAAGCACAACATATTATCGTACAAACAGCATGAGAAAACATAATATTAACATAAATCAGAACAGCACATTTACGAACACTGCAGTCACCACGACTGTTAGATTCCGAGACTTGAAATTGAAATGACAGGTCAAAAGAATGGTGAGGTTTCTTCCCTGTCAAAATTGTTACTGCACCTCAGCATGACATATGACATGGCTGTCACTGTATGCGTCCATCAGAATTGCGGCATAGGCACCCTGTATATAATGGAACATATGGACGAGGAGGTGGTTACAGATAACCAAAGATCCACAGCCTCAGTCACTGTCAATGTTGACCTTAAACATCTGTTAAACAATATGAATGTGGATCGGTGGCTATGGGCAATATTAACCTCACTGTGAGAGCCAAGTGAAAGTCAGGAAGTGAATGTCTTCTGGCAGTGACCTTTCACCTCCGAGCCCACAAAGTGTCCAGCCTTCAGTCGGCGTAGAGGATGAATCCTGAAAACGTGCTATACTTGTTACTGTTCCCCCCGTGGGCCTTGCCCCCATCCAATTTGATGAAAACCTCATCGCCTGCATCCAAATGAAGGATGACACTGTTGCTGGCGTAGTCATAACTCTGGTCCTGGTCTTGGGCGATGGCGCTGGCCCTGACCTGGAATATGACATGCACACACAGACAAGGAGAGAGGAAGTCAAGAAATGTACACAGAATTCCCCAGAAGGGGAAAAGACCGTTTTTGCAATATATTACTCAACTATATAAGAGCAGAATGAATAATTCCCATTTTCATAGAATGCAAATAAGAGCTGCACAATATAAGAAACATATATGATAACAATGTTGAATATTTCAATAATGACATTACTTGTGCATGATACATAAACTGATATTAAAGTGTATTTGATTCTGCCTTTTGCTGTTTTAGGTAAACTGCTATAATACAAAATTATTAAATACACTCTTATTTTTGGCAAATTAACAATGAAGTGAACACAAAAGGCACTAATAAAAAAACTAATGATAGTAACATTTTAAAGCGACATATTCTACTGATAGAAATAAATAAAAAATCCCTAAGTACAATAAAATTATAAAAAAGCGATAACATTTTAAAATATAATGATATTGAAATAGATTAATCTTCATACACACCAACATTTAATCACTTCATAATTTGACGCCACTCATTTTCCAAGTCCGAGTTTAATTAAAATCTTATTAAAGGAAAATAATATTTGGAAGGCGTGTGGACTGAATTTGAGAGTTTGTGTAAAGTATTTCCCCTGTGGTGAATATCTTGATGTTCCTCCATGACTCAACTGAAAGGGCCACGCTTGAGTCAGCTTGCATTTGAGGAAGGATGGCAGAGCAAACTCTCCCTTTGCGTCATCTTCCACTCTTGCATCCACCTTTCCCTGGGTGGGGCACTGATAATGCCATATTTAACCCGAATACGAGTGTCATCGTGTCAACGCAGGGTAATTACTGAGGGTGTTAGATCTGGAGCCTAACACACTAATCGCCGGTGCATGTCCATGTTCAAAGTGAAAGTTGTATACTTATAAATATCCCTCTAAGCTTAGGCTAATATGTGATGAGCTGGGTTGCCAGGTTGGATGTTATGCTGTAACCTCAGCAGACCTAACCCTAAAAGTGTAATTTTCTTTCTGAATGAAGGAATCTGGACTTATTAGTGCCAATGACAAAAAGACACTGACCAAAAATGTCCCAGTAAAATACAATCCTAAAAAATTTGCAGAAAACTGCGGGTCTGTTGCAAATCACTTCTTTTAAATCAAGGCTGAAGTGTTTTCTTTCTCCTGCTGCTTTAGACTAAATCAAATAACTATTTGAGTCACTTTTATTCTTGTACTTAATATATGTTTTATTGTAGATTGTTCTATTTTTATTTGACTCTCCTTGCTTTTAAATGACTGTTTTTAATAAATAATATATTTGGTTCTGTGCACTTTATCTTAATTCTTTAATGTTTATTTGTATTATTTGTAAATCACATTGGCAACATTGTCAGTCATACTTTACTTTATCCAGAATATTTGTTAATGGTTTCATTTGATATCTTGGAGCCCTTTTTTAAGAAGGTGTGGGACTGCAATAGATGTGTTTTCTGTGGTAATCTAAGATAAAGCTTTATATATGAAACGACATATCTGGTGCACCGTATTTACAGTGTCATTGCCCTCTAAAGAAAGCTGGGGGAGGCAGATGGAGGAAGTCTTTGCACATCACTAGTCAGCCAATAGGTGAATCATTCTGATTATAATATGCAGTTTTCCACACAGTATACTCAAGTATGTTTGTCTTTTTATTTAAGTTACAAGTTAACATGTTTTATGAACTGTAAATATATTGCTTATTTTAATGTTGCCTTTATATTAAAAAAAATTCTACACATTTTCAAATAAATGTGTGGATATTAAACAATGTATTTATTAAATTATTTGTTGAATGAAAAAGGAAAGTGTGTGTTTGGAAGAATCACGTTCATACGTTCTAATTCAAATGTGAACTGGAAAAGGGTAAGGGTGCAATTTTCCTTTTTAAATTAATCCCATCTCAAATAAATGGTATCCTTGTAACCCAAACATGGGTTGTATTTCTGATGTACAGGTGTTACTCTCTCCCCTCTCACATCATGGTGCATCCTCTCTGAGATGTCCGAAGGAAAACGTCCTGGCTGAGATTTACATGGTGTTTGATCAATGTCCTCACCTGGGGCTTTAAAGACATTAGAAAACTGTCCATGAGTATAGCAAATATCATGATTTCAAATGGAATCGTCTGGGCCTGACAGGCAGTCTGATAACGCATATACGAGCACATCGTGTTCCATGAAGTTTATTTATTTCAAAGGGCACCAGCTTTGAACTAGCCACTACCCCAGGCTGTGTTTTGATGTGTGCAGAGTTGAGATAGCGCTGCACTCCTTCCACTCACTTCAACGTGTACATCATTGGATGTATAATATGCACAGATACACAATCTGGCAGCTTGCCACTGTGCATTGTCATTATCTTGAACTAAAATACCGGACCAAGTCAGATCTAAAATCACTATCCACATGAATGCATGACTTCTCAATTTAGACTTCAAGCAGGCTGGTTACAATATTCCCTGAGCAGTGTACTGTATAATCCAGGGTTCTTATCTCATATTAGATCATTTTCTACTACTTTAACTGAGAAGCGCTTTTTTCATCTGTTAAAGTCAAATGGAAATAATTAAACATTAGGACTGTTTTTGAATAGGTGTCTGCAGAGTTTAAAGGGTTACCCACCAGACCATTCTTGATCAGGTCAGCCCACATGCTGGTGCCATCTCCTCCCCTCATGAGCACATTGTAGATGAAAAAGTAGGTGCCAGGAATCTTACAGGTAAACTTGCCTGTTGCGCCCTCATAATTACCCCCAATATTAGTCACCACATCATCAAATCGTAGAATATCGTAACCTTCTTGAGGGTTTCGTAGTCCTCCAAAAAATGCCACCCGAGGTGCTGTATTGTACGTTGTTGTACTAACTGCCCCTTTACCCCCTAGACCTAGAATCCCCGTCCGTACGATGTCCACACCTTCTCCTGGAGGTCCCTTAGGTCCTGGTGGGCCTGGTGGTCCTGGGGGTCCAGGCTTTCCTGGACGTCCATGTCTGCCGTAGGGGCCGTTAGCACTGTATGTAGGCAGCGGTGGGCCAATGCTGTGATCACTCAGGTCCACATTGTTGTCCACATGTAGGCCTGAGGTTGCTGTATCTGTTCCCGCTTGACCCCCTGTGTCCGTTGTGGGGAAGGGGTCACACACCATGCGGCAGGTACCCAGCATCTCGAAGTGGCTCCCACTGTCATCTGTGCCTCCTGTGCCAACAGAGCTGACCAGCACAGGGATGAGGACCACCAGAACCAGGACCAGCATGACCCCCACAGCAGCTGCCACCAGGGTCTTCCGCCCGATGCTCAGCCGGGGAAGAGGCTGCGCAGCCAGCGTGGAACTCTCCGGGGTGGAAATGGTGACTGTGGGGAGTGCGTCCACCTGGCAAAACACAGACACAATGAGGCTCTCCGATGGGGGAGATGGTGCCCAGGGTGTGAGTGTGTGAGTGAGTGACAGAGCCGTGTAGGAGAGGGAGTGGAGCAAGGGATCCAAGTGATCAAAAGGAGAGAGAGAGTGAGAGTGAGGAGAGATACTTAGAGGAGAGGAGGAGGCAGAGAGTAAGACAGCTTGAGAGAAAAAAAGCAAAGAAGCAAGGGGAGGAGAGAGTGAGCAACATGCACTCACTAACTATCTGAGTCAGGGCGGAGGAGGGCACTTTCCTACTGGCAGATGTGAAAAGCCAGGGAGGACATAAGGAAGGAGTGTGAAATATGGAAGATAAATATTGGGATCGTAATGAATCAATTCATGATCATGATAAAGACAGACATGGAGAAACAGATTTAAGTGAAGTTCGCTAAGATCTCAGTTCTAAATTATAGGAGAGGTCATTTATTTAACATCACTGAAACATATATATACTCAATTGTTGTGGTTATTTATTGTAAATGTTTCCATAATATTAAACAGTTGGTATTTATTGTGTGCACTCATGTAAGAAAATGTTACTTTGAGTACAGTAAGACCTCATTTGAGACTAATAGCCAGTAGCCAGGTATATAGATTTTTCTGGTAAAGTTATCTTAGCTTATTGTGATAGTTTTCAAGGTCAGAATGTGCATATTTCCCTTATCTGCCTACGTGTCTGTGTGGGTGCATGGTAAGAGATCTTGTTTACAGGAATCATTTCAAACATCTCTGGTCCGTCAAGCTGTGACCTTTGCTAATCAGCAAGCTTTTGAAGAAGCAGTTCAGATGTTCAGACCTGGTGGCCACCAGTACAATCAATCCATCAATCAATCGAAACTGTATTAATCCCAGGGGGAAATTAAGTGTTTAGAAATGATCAGAATAGAAATGAATGAATATTGAGAAGTAAAAATGTGCCATAAAAGTCCTTGTAGCCACAGGGACACAGCGTATTACACAGTGTCTTAGGCACAGCGTCTTAGGCATAGAAACAAGGCAGAAGGTCACCCGCACAGGGACCCTCTGAAGACTCATGATCATGTTGATGCTCTCGGAAAAATCCTCGTCGACCCAAACTGTCGTGAAGCTATCAAAGGAAATATCCAAAATTGATATGGATTGAAAAGTTTCCCAAACAGTTACTTACATCAGTAGAACAAGTTTTCTGGGAATTCAATTTATTTGCAAAAAAATATACATAATCTCTGAAATCATAGGTAATCCTTATAATATCATGCACTGTTTGGTGTGTATGTGATTTCAAAGTATCTTCACTGATCAACAATGAGTTTTTAATCTATGGCAGCAAGCATCTGCCAATATTACATTTGTACTATTCAAAGCAGTTGTATCTACTTGTTGGCCCCTTGGAGGCAGCAGATCAAGCCTTGAACACAACATGGACATGTTTTTATCCTAGGGATATTAAAATTAGTTTTGAACACTATCCAATCACATAACTCTTTGTTCTGTAATATTGGTCGCACAGGACATTTGTGTGAGTTACCTGCAAAGATGATGAGTTTTACTTTGCTGAATGGCCTCAAGGTGGCAGGTCCTCGACAGACACCATAAAAGCTATTGTTGGGTGTTTGATCTGAACCAGTTAAGATAGTTGTGATGTTTCCATTTTACTGCTCCTTTCTTGGTGCACGCTTATGGAAAAATAACCATGTCCTGACAATGATGAGTCAGACACCTTCGGCACTGCTTTCTTGCTGAGTCTTTCCAGCTGATGACAATATAATGGAGATGCCCAGATGATCAACTCAGAAACCAAACAAAAGTATACACCAATCAAAATAAGATACATACACATTTACTTTAAAACCTGCACATTTTAAAACTTAATTTATTTCAATGAACTTTTAAAAGAGTTTACATCAGCCTTCTCTGGAGGGTGCTGCACAAATATATTGATCTAGTTGCAGACTTTGGTGCCCTCATGTGGCATTTTAACATATTACAAATATAATATAAATATAAACTAAACATCCTCACACAGTATTATTTTTTTTCTTTTCTCTTGAACTCACTTGAACTTATTTCAGAGAAATGGTGTAAAAGCAACTTTGGTCCTATGTGACTCCTCTTAAGCCACACGGACCCGGTTTCGGGGCCGAAATCTCGTCATTTGCAGGAAACAACGTCTAAGGAACCTTAATATTTAATGAACTATTAATATTTTATATCCATATAACGGGAAAAAACTAATTTAACTGATCTTTTTCATTTTTTTTAAAAAAACACACAATGCTAACAGTGAGCCTCTGAATTAGCCCAGAGCGAAAAATGCTAACCTATTACTGCACCAAAAATCACTCATAGCTCCCTTATTACTTATCTTAGCTGCACATCCAACACATCGTTTATGATCGTAAAGACACAGAATCTAACGGTGCCCACCTCAACACTGAAAGATACAAACTCGCGACGTTATCAACAAAAACGTACATCAAAACAAGTGGCGCTAGGTAGCCCACAACGCTAACATGGCTTACCTTCGTCTTTGTCTGGTCTAAACTGGTCTTCAATGGCATTAAGACGATAACAACGATGAAGTAGTTAATCCATAGGTTAATATCCAATGTGGCTGTGTCCAGGGCCGTATCCAGGATTTCCTAAATACCGAGGTCTAAACATGCTAGGGGGGTTCGGGGGATACCCCCCGAGATTTTTGGGATTTTCATGATCTAGTTAGGTGCTTTTTAAGTCCTGTGGGGGGGTCACACATTGGATAATATATTGATTTCAAACCCTGTCAGTGGGCTGCAGCATCCATTATTTTTGAATCAGTTGATTGTACTATTAACGATCTGGACATGCAGAAGAGGCTAAAATTATCACAAAACATTGTCAACATTCATTTTCCATGTCTCTCTCCTTTCCATAACCTGCAGCCTCTCTTCCATCTTCTTTAGTCTCTCTGTCTTCTTCCTGTTCATTACTATCTCTGTCCTCTACTCTTTCTCTTTGTTCAATCTCTCCCTCGTTGTTCACTTTTTGCTCCTCCTCACTTGTCGCTCCTGCCAGTGAATTAAAAGCAATTCAGCAATTTAGTTCATTTCACTTGTTTGTTTGCATTTTTTTTTAAAATCTGTTTTGTTTGATTCTCAAAAGAGAACAAAGATGTAAGCAAATTGTGTTTTATACAATTGTATGTTATTATGACATCATAACTACAATCGATGTATGTTGTTTTACAATTATGCCTATTGTCTATATTGCAAATGAAGACTATTGTTATAGATGTATAGATAGATAGATGGATAGATAAATAGATAAATAGATGGGGTTATTAAGCCTACATTATTTTGTGTGACTGTACCTGCAGTTCCTCCCTGACTTCCATCACTTTCTCTTTCTCTCTGCCCGTCCTGTCTCTTCCTTACCAAAGCTGAGCTTCGACTGACGTAGTTTTTTCATTATATCTGAGTCAGTGTAAAAAGAAAACAATACAATGTTATATCTTCAATGTTTTACTCAAATTGAAATCAAAGAAAAGCATTACAACGTTTGTTAAAGGTAATCCTTCTGACATTCTTTCACACACACATACGGTATTGGGCCGAGGGCGACACCGTACTTCCGGAATCCGCCATTTCACACGAGGTGCAAGCAGAATATCATAGTCTATTGCCTTAATCAATATCTAGTCAACTCTAAAATACCACATTTGCAATGGCATGATAATATTATTGTGACAAGTGGGGTATTCACCTGGTGTTTCCAGAAATTAGACGTAGGCCTAGATGCAGCTCAAATCGACGAAGGCCACTTTCGAGGATCGTTTTTCCATACATCTGCAGGCAGTCTGTAAGGGCAATCTGATAACCCACACAGCTCTAGTTTACGCTGGTAACGACCTAGAGCACACCCCTCAAGTCCAGAGATGTAATCCGAAGACATGCAGCGAATTATTCGGTCGTTAATTCATTAAAAAAAACTAGTGCGCTCTGCCTGGCTACGTTAGCTAGCTGTTTATATTTGCACCTCCAGGAAAATGGCGTATTTATATATATATATATGGCGCGCGTTGCATTGTGGGTAGCTCGTGACGTCACTGTGTGTGAAAGAATTGGATGAATGTAATTAACGTTAGCTCTCTAGCTAGTTTATTCACGCAATGTAAACCAAAGTATAGCCTATAGCTGCAATATAAGTTAGTGTGCATGTTGTCGGACGTCCACTGACTAACGTAGAGCGTTCACACAGGATCTGCTGGTCATATGATATCCTGATGAACAGAAACACAAGCAGCCCGCTGGACTCAGATCTCTAGATACCTCATCACTTCTTCGCTGCTCCGATACAAGTCCGGGCTGCGGTAGTTTGTTGATACCATGGTTGATACATGTCGTCTTCTTCTGTTTTCTTTAATCGAGGCTACGTAGTTATGCAGCGCCCCCATCGCCAGTAAATGGAAGTACTACAAAGAACCCCGTTTAGTGCAATTATTTCACAAGTTTTGTTATACACAGCTCGGAAAAAATTACTAAGGTCCGCACCTCGGTGACCTCAATGGTGGATACGGCCATGGCTGTGTCCCCTTTGAAATGTTCTGATAATCTATAATAAGGTGACCAGATTTTCAAAATTAAAACCGGGGACATTTTGAGTTTTGCGGTCAATATATCATTAACATATCCAATTTTCTTCACTGTTAAAGAAAAAAGGGGGACAAATCTGGTTCAATGTAATTTAACTGTTGGATACAAACAGAAGGACGATAGCTCATATATGAGACTTCAAAGGTCTTTTATTTTGAAATTCTACATCAGATTGTCCTGATTTTCTCTGATTGACTAGATGGGGTCTCCTGCTATCACCCTGAAGTGAAATAAGTATTTTATTGAATTTTAATGACTCTTTGATTATGGACGGTTTCCATTAAATAATAATCAAAATATAGATGGGCAATAGATCTAATTTGAGATTTTTAAACAGCATACATTTTAAATTGTGCTTCAGAAAGTAATGTTATTTTAGGTGTTGTGAGATGGTGTCAACATCAAT